CATAACGTATTGTTTCTCGATACTTGGATGAGCAGTTTTTGTCATGACGGATTTCTTTAAGAAAGTTCTTTGTGGATCCACCTGCTTTTATTTTGATGAGAACTTGATCATTTAGGTTCATTTTCTTGCCATAATGTAATTACTGCAGTAGTTGAATGGTCCAATATAAGATGGGAACTGTGCTGAACCAAACATTTCATAGATACTGCAAATGTGTTTTTCAGGCACCAAGAGATTGTCATGCAGCCAATCAAGATCCAATGATCTATGATATCTTGGGTTTGTCTCTTGTCCCTCTTCTCTTCCAGCTGACTGCAAGTATCGGTTTGGTAGCTGCAGAGAGTGTGATCCAACCTCCGGTTCGTGGACCAGATCTGTCTCCAAGCCTCGCCCTGGAACAACCAAAACACAAACCAAAGGTTCCCTAAAGTTGTACAATCAATCCTGACTGGGTCATAGATGTGTGGACCAGATGTCATGATAGTCATATCAGTAAGATCAGTTTAATGTGTTTCAGGCTGGGTGGGGCTGTTGGACAGAAGAGGACACGCTCACTCTCCTCCACACCTGAGGCTCATTGGTAATCGGCACCAGATAACATCTGCCTCCACCTGTGCTCCAGCGCCAGTGGATTGTTCCTCCCTCGAGTGGTAACAGGCCGGCCAGCTGTCTACATGAACTTTGTGCTTGAAGAGTCTTGCTTTGCCTAATTGTGATTGTTGTCTGTGTTTATACCAGAGCCTCCCTGGTGGATCAACGCCTTCTGCAGCCAAGTTCCAGCCTCAGCAGTTCTGCCTCCTGGTCCCTTTGGAAACCCTCCCTCCCTCAATCAGCTGCCCTCACATGCTTCCTGGTGTGTTCCCGTCTTCCTACAGCCACAAATAAATCCCTCTGTGCTTTGAACCAAAACCCTCTGTTGCATTTTTGGATGCTGCTCAGACTGAACCCCAACAATCTCACATGGTCACCTTTTGGTCCCTGCTGCTATTGTGGTCTATGACTCCAGGGTCACTTTACTTAGTCTGCTTGTATATTTTGAGAAAAGTCAGTTTTAAGTGAAAATGCCACGAACACAATGCAAGCGTTGCCATGGTGCTTGTTGTAGCCAAATCAGACTAATGCTGCGTCTGTCTGTAAGTGTATGTCTTTGAGGCAATTGCTTGCTAGGGTTACCTGCACACCTGCGGGCACAGGTAGCCATCAGCCAGGCAGAGGCTTGATGAGGGAGACACAGGTGATCAGTGAGTCTGAATGGCTGTTGGTCACATTTTTGTATTTCTAGGTCGTGCAGGTGTGGCAGACCCCAGCTGATTCCATTTGGGTGCAGANTAAATATCATGAATATTTATTTATCTGAGGAGGTCAATCAGGGTTCAATATCTTCTCGAAAAGATTAACTCCAAATAAGGAAAGTAATTTTCCTTCACAGACGTTAGATTTCTCTTTGCATTCCTCAAACATCAATTAGTGATGTCTGTTTTCAGAATAAACCACTGACCTTGAAAATGTTGAAAATTACAGTATAAAAACTGGAAGAAAAAAACATGTGTAATATAAACTTCCGTCAATATCAACAAGAACAGTTTAACAAATACCAACATCAGTTCAATGATACAAGACTAGATATTATATTTATTTTTCATGTATGAACCATCCATTTTTTTTGTTGTTTTACCAGATAACAAACATGATGGCTGTTTAGCCAGAAGAAAACGACCCCCCAGCCCTCGCCTGTCTCCCTCCTTCTTTCCCCGTCTGCATCTCAGCACACAATCAAGGACAATCAGCCACACCTGCGACTCCGGACTCACCTGCACACCATCACCAGAGCTCCTATAAAGTTCTCTCCAGAGCCGTTCCCGCTGCTTGTCTCTGCTCCGTCTCCAGCCAGCTTTCTCCTGCCGCTGCTCTCACCCTGGATCCCCGGAGCCTGTCTGCCTCCTCTGGTTTTGTCACCTTTTGTGAGTATTCTGTGTGTTTGAGTAGCTTAATTTTTTTTTTTTAATCTTTGAATTCATTAGATTTTTCCCCCTCTGTTCTTAGTTTGAACTTTTCCCTGGATTTTGTTGCTGGTTTTCAATCTGGTTTATCTCGTTCTGTTTTCCACTCGGTGTCGTTTGCACTTTTGTATCAGTTTGCTATTTTGCTTCTGGTTTATTAAATCATTTTTTCACTCAAACCTGCTTGTCTGCCTGGTCTGTGTCCACACCTGGGTTCCCTGATTTATTTATTTATTCCCCCCCGTGACAGTATGGTCTGGCCAGAACTGAACCCAGCGGACACAGAACCCGGCTCTGGGGTTCATCTCTGCTCCCCATGCCGATCCAGCAGGCTATAACCGGCCAGGGTGCTTTAATGACTGTCACCCAACCAGCCTGCTGGTTCTGTCGGGTCATGAGCGAGCCAGCTCTCAGCCTGCGAGCACACCAACACCCAGGGAAGAACCTGAACCTGCTCCCTTGGACTCCAAGCTTCCTGTCTCCGAGCGGGTCGCCGCCTC